CCCCAAAACCCCAAAACCCCAAAACCCCAAAACCCCTTTTTATCATTTTATTATTTAAATCAGATAACAAATTATATTTAAATAAGAAAATGGAAGGGAGAGAAGCATTTCATATTAAAAGAAAAGGGCCAAAGTTTAGCATAAAATCTGGATATAAGAAGAAAAGTAAGCTCTATCTCCAATCCCATTCTTAACACTTCAACCCCTGCACACCCTCCCCTATCACACCCAAAAACACCTCCCACCCTCCTCTAAGTCCCAAATTTCCTTACAAAACATCACTTATCACCCAAGATCTCATGACTCTCTAGCTCCAATTCTCAAGACCAAAAAACTCGCCGGCCCCATCCCTAAGGCTAACAAAGAAATCAGCCAAAAGTTCAGCTATGGAATAGAAGGTATCAACTATAAAGTCATTAGTCAGCTTTTTCTGTATCTTGGAACTTAAGTTATATAATTTAGGGTTTAACCAACAGAACAAGCTGGCATTAAATCTGTACACTAATTAAGAAAGAATATGACCAATATGAGTTTGACATAGAAGAAAGTAAAAAAGATATAAAAACTTATAAACCGAAGAATACGAAGATTTTTAGTAAGGGAAAATGTGGCCTCGAGGGGATGGAAGATTTATATGACAAGCTTGATGGAGAGCGTGAAAGGCAAGATCAGAGAGAAGAGTACACACAGGAGCTTTATGAGAGAGTCCAGCAGTTAGAGCGTATTGTTAAGGATCGTGATACTGAGATTAAGAAAATTAAGCAGCAAAATCAGAGATTGGTAAAAGAGAGAGATCTTATGAAAAATAAATTAAAATAAGGCCATGAAAGAAGATAAGAAGACATCTGGGGAAAAAGTTAAGCCTGAGAAAAAGAAGGAAGAAGCCTCTGAGCCTTTGAGGAATAATGATGCTTTGCAGAGAAATTTATTTGAGATGATCTTAGGAAGTCATATGCATGAAAACACTATGCAACAAAATTTGGGGCAACAACGTGAGCAAGAAATGATTGAAAAAGCGATCCAAGAAAGTTTGAAGGAAAACCCAAACCCAGATGTTATGAATTATGAACAGCTACAAGAGCTTGAAGAAAGAATGGGTAGTGTATCTAAAGGATTTACTGATATTCAGATTGCTACAATTCCATATACAATTGCTAGCTCTAGCGGAGAAGGTTGCTCTGTATGCTTAGAGGAAATCAGACCTGGTGATAAACTTAAAAGACTTAGTTGCAGCCATGAATTTCATAGCAACTGCATTAACCAATGTTTCAAGACCACCAAGAAATGCCCTTATTGAATGGAAGAGCATCAACTAATGCCATTTTAATATGCTATTTTGAAGGAAGGTATTAATTCCAAACTCTTTGCTTTCAATTTTTGTATAAAAAATGGGGTTTTGGGGTTTTGGGGTTTTGGGGGTTTGGGGTTTTGGGG